CAGCTCTCGAGCCCAGATCCCACTGCTTACTCGGACACGTATCTTCGCGATATCCGTTCTCATTTCGGCTCTTCATACTGTTCGTTCGTCGTCCTTCAATCACCTAAACTCTTCAGACCCTCGCCGTTCCGATCCTCCGGCATCCATCCATTCCATCGTGATTCCATGTCCTTCCATTCATCCCTCTGTCACTTCCCATTAGCTTCGTCGATACTAGCTCTGTATACTGTAACTCCATATATAATAAGCAGACGATCACGATCTCCGTCTCCTCCCGCTCCTCGTCTCGGGTCCCCGTCTCGATCTCCACTGCTCATTTCCTCTCACATACTGTCTTGACCTCTTCTCCTCTATGCTATAGACATACACATGGATAGTACTTATGATATATAATATAGATTCATCTTTCCTGATATTTTCCTCATATACGGACTTCTCTATACTCTCCACTTACCTACCTCATCTGCCTATATACGTATTCTATCCGTCTGTCGTACACAGCTAGCCGTGGTAGCCAGCTGTACGGACGCCGGACCTGGCCGGGATATATACGAACACGTTGAATTTATATCTCCTATACCCCGCAATTCATCCCCCAGTGCTCTCGGCGCTCCAGTCTGCGGTCTTACCCCGTCTACGTGCGCCGTCAACCCCCAAGAAGCTGCTGGCGGGGCCGTGGCCGTCGAGCACGACGGGGTCGAGGGGCGGCGGGCGGAAGGGGCTTCGCGGTGCGGCGCTGGTGCGGCGGCGTGTAGGCGCCCGTGACGCCGGCGAGGGGGTCGGTGTGGGCGTGGGCGAGGTGGCGCGGGCCGGGGGCCGCGTCGTCGGCGGCCATGTCGGCTGAGGAGAAGTGGCGGGTTAGGCTGGACCACATGGTGCTTTGGGGGGCATGCGATGGGGTGGAGGTGCTTCGCAGAGGCCGAGGTGACGATGTAATGATCTGAGAAAGCGTGTGCTGATATAGGCAGCAGAGGTACTGATGTGGGCAGCAGAGGAGTGGGGACGGGCTGCCTGTGAAACGCAGGCAGTCGTCGGCAGCGGGAGGTCAATGTGTCAAGATGGGCTGTTGCCGTTAAGCTGCGTGGTGATCGTGCTGCTGTTGCAATCGAATGTAATCAATGTGTCATGCAGGCAGCTCAGTGGTGGTGGTGGTGATGGTCTTGGATGCGGGGTCTGTGTCTGACGTCTGTGAGTGGACGTAGTGGACGTGGTGGACGTGGTGGACGTGGTAGATGGTGAATACGCGGCAGATGGTGCACAGGTGGTAGATGTAGATGGTGAATGAAGACAGCAGCAGATGAGGACCCAAAGTTGCTCCCTGGTCAGATCGACCAGGAAGGACTCTTGCGGTGAGGAGCATCCCCACCTCGAGTCCGGAGCAGACACGAGGCAAGAAGCCAGACGAGAAGGAACAGCCCTACGCCCTACCGCCCGCCTCCACCGCCACGTCGACGTCAGCCGTGCGACACGTGCAGCCTGACCCAGCCTCACCACCACATCCACCTCACATCACCACTCACCACCACATCATACAGCCACAGATAACGTGTCTTGCTGACAACTGCCTTGCTGTAACTGCTTGCTGCAACGGCCTTGCTGCAACGGCCTTGCTGCAACTACCATCTACTCCTACATACATCCCACCGCCCGTGCGGCCCATCATCTTTTCCGTCCCATCTTCCGTCCTGCATCCCTACTCTGGTATAGCGAATGGATATAGTCAATCATGAGATCCTTGTCCCGTCCCCGCCCTAAACTATCAGCGACAAACAGCAGCAACAAATAACGGCAACGAGCGCTGTCTCCCAGTCGGGTATTCAAACATGTCGGCTCCTTCGCCTGCCTGGTATATAAACACGGCCTCCCCTGACGGCCTCCCCTGACGGCCTCCCCTCACATCGCCTTGCCAACGCTGCCCTGCGTCTGCTGGCTGCCGCTGCTGAGCCTGCGCCGCTGCTCCCCCGGTCGGTACCCCGACGTCGGGCTGTCCATGTCCCGCCCCCCCGACCCCCCTGACGCCCCCACGTCCGGCCCCGGCTCGCTCCACCCCATCGAGCCCACGCCGCTGCTGTACTTGCTCTGCATGCTCTCGCTGCGCATGTGCGCCGCCGACGGCCGACGCAGCGCCCCTGACGCCCCCGACCCCCGCCCGCCCACGCTGCTGCCCTGGCTCGACAGCAGGTCCGGACGCTCGAGGTCAAACGGGTCCGACCGCCACTTGTTGCGCCGCGCCGTAAAGCTGTCGACGCTGCCCCCCGACTCGCGGTACACCGAGTCGTACCGCGACGACCGCGCCACCTGCGTGCTCGGCGGCCGCGTCGTCAGCCCGCCCATCGATGTGCCGCGCGACCGCCGCAGCGCCTCAATGTAGTTCTGGCCTGCCTTGGCCGCGAACCCCGGCGCCGCCACCGCGTTGCTGTCGTCAAACGGGTTCGTCGGCGCCGCCCGCGTTGGTTCCGCCGGCAGCGCGTGCCTGTCCGAGAACGGGTCTGGGTTCTTGTCGACGCCGAGGCCGAGGCCGCTGAGGAAGTGATCCATCGATGCCGTGCTGCCGTGCTTGCGGCTGGCCCGCCGACGCTGCGCCTCGCGCTCGACCTCCCTCTCGTCCATGCCGAGGAGCGTCAAAAAGTCCGGCTGACCGACATTGTTGTTGACCGTTTCGCTCTGCTTCTCGCGCACCGACGCAAACGGGTCAGGGTCCATGGGCCCGTCCCTGCGCGTGCGCCAGTTGAAGAGGGCGTCCATCTTGAGCCTGTCCCACCAGTCACGGGCGCGGTCCTGGCTCGTCACGACGACGGCGGCCGGCGCGCCCCGGCTCGATGCGTTCGACCCGTGACGGCTGTGGCCCGAAAGGTCCGAGTACGCCTGCTGCGACTGCTCCTTGCTGAGCACGGCGCTCGAGCTGCGCCGGTGAGTGCCGAACGAGAAGACGCCGCCGACCTGGCCGCGGAGACGCATGAGGCTGTAGCCGAGCGCCGCCTTGAATTTGGTCGAGCGGGGCGTCGGTCCGACGGATTCCTGGTCGAAAATGTAGGGCCGCTCCTTGCGCATCGACGGCGGCTGCGTCGAGAGCGGTGTCAGTAGCGTGCTGCGCCTCTTCTTCTTGTTCTTGCGCCAGAACCAGAAGAGGAGCGCGCAAATGGTGAGGAAAGCGACGCCGCCGACGACGGCACCGGCAATGATGGCTGCCGACATGCCCGAGGATTCACTGTCGGCGCTGCTTCCTGGCAGCGGGCTCGTGAGCAGAGGCGACTCACTGCCGGTCGTCGTCACGGCGTCTTCGCCGGCTCGGCTCCCTCCGCCGCCAATGGGCACGGGGGCGCTGGTAATGAGCGAGGCGGCGTCGTCTGTCGACGAGGCGCCGCCCAACGGCGCCTCGACCTCGCTCTGGGGCCCGTCTACGTTTCCTGGGTTGGCTTGTGTGGGGGCTGTTTCTTGATCAGTCCGACTGCTCTCTACAGCGGATGGCTGCGTGTCAGAGGTGGAAGGAAATACAGGGGCGAGGGGGGAGGTGGGCGGCGTCAAGACGGGCGCGGCCGGCGGCGACGGCACCAGGACGGACGTTTCTGTCGTGTCGCTGGCCGTCGTGCTGCTCGACTGGGCGCCCGTCTCGCTGCCGGGGGGTGGTGATGATGATGTGGAGAGGGAGGGCAGGCCCGGCCTGGGCTGCTCGTCTGCTAATGGGGGAGGACGGATGGGGGAGGGGGGTGTCAGAGAGGGCACGAGAATGGGACCGCGGCCGTCCTCGGCCAGCGGGGGCGGCCGCTGGGGTGTGGGAGGCACGAGAGGGTTCTGTACTTGTGAGGCGGCAGGAGGAGGTGTGATGACGGTGCGGATGGGTTGTGGGGGTGGTGTAGAGGGAGTGATGACAGGTGAAGGGGAGGCTGTGGTCGTACTGGATGTACTCGTTGGTTCACGGGATTCCTGCGGCGGCGGAGGAGGATCCGCTTGTGTCTGCCGCGGTGGTTCTGCCTGGGGCGGATCACGCTGGGGCGGATCTGGTTGCGGCGAGGACGAGGCTCTCGCGGGCGTGTCATCTTGCGGCGGCGGGTTCTGCTGCTGAGGCGGCGGGTTTGCTGGCGTCGGCGTCTCGCGCGCAGGAGGTGTGGGCGTGGGCTGCCGGGCGGTCGTCGTCGGCGCCTCTCTCGTCGTCTGCTCCTGGCGGCCCTGTTTGGGGATGGCGGTGCAGCGCCTGCCGTTGATGCTCGTGAGAAAAGCCCCGTCCGGGAGGTTTGGACTCGACATGTCGAGGGATGGGTGTATGTCTAGGTTGGATTTTTTGGCGATGCCTGTCGCTCCTGGCAAAGGAATGTGGTCGTCGGTCTCGTCTGCCGTCGATATGTCTCTCGATCCTGTGTCGATGACGCCAATGTACGTCTTTTCTTGTCGTCGGGCCGGAGGTCCAAGGGGAAGGAGAACAAAAAAAGGGCAGACCGGCCGGGTCGAAAGACGGGTGGTCGGTCCAGAAGAAGAAGACGCAAAAACTAAGGAAGCCTATGCGGCCATCTAGTCTGCGGAACAGATCATACAGGCCGTAGACGCTGATGATCTGGACAAAGTTGGGTTGTCGAGAGCAGGGGAAAGGGAGGAGAGAGCACAGCTCTCGAGGTTGTCCTGACGGGTAGTGCCTTTGTTGTATGGAGGTGACGAGTTGGGCGAAGCGGGTGAAGGCTGGCGGCTCAAAGAGGAACGATGCCTGCAGTGATGCCTGCAGTGATGCCTGTCGAAGTAAAATTGCGGTTGATGGGAAGCGAAGTGCTAGTGGTGAAAATTGGCCGAAGGAGAGGGGGCCCGGAAGGAGGATCACGATGGCGTGGAGGAGTGGAGGAGAGGAGGAGGGGGGGTGGGAAGGACGAGAGCGGGAGAAGGGAGATCACGCAGCAGGCTGAGCTGGGTGACCTGGTTGACGTGATGGTCCTGGGCTGTCCTCGTAGTGCTGTGCCATGACTGACGATGTGCTGGTGGACACAGAGGGGCCTGGCCAGGTGTTGATCCCGGCATGGGCATGGGCGGCTGGTTGTTTGATAGATGACAGAGGAGGGGGAGGATTGGTTGGCGAGGCTTCGGCAGGAGCTGGGCTGTGGCTCGAGCGTGTCGGACGGAGAGGCAGGTGCATGGTACCTTGCAGGGCAGGGGCATGAGGGGCATGAGGGCAGGCGCAAGAGGGGCATGAGGGCAGGCGCACTAGGGGCATTAGGGGCATGAGGGGGGGCTTCAGGGGGTCGACTTCTGGGACTTTTAGGGCGTCACTCGAGGAGCCTTGACGTCGGAACTGCAGGGAGCACCCCGTTCTGCGGGCACTGTTCCTTCCAGGCGACACGTTCTCTCGACGCGACACCCCCCCGGTCTGTGACAGACCTGAAGCACTGAAGCCCTGGAGCCCAGCGCCCTCATCCCTGCCACACGACCAATGCGGGACCCATTTATTGCCTCTTTCCAACCTCGACGCGAGCGTGTACCATGTACTGTAGAGACTGGAGGTAGAGGTCGTAGCACCGGATCCAACTTGGACCAAGCCACACCTGTAAGGTACGTGGAGCTATTGACAGCCGACTATTGAATGCCACCCTCCTCTTCTTTTGTCTGCCCCGAGCTACTGTACGACGCATCACGACCTCGACGGCCTGGCTGCCCGCTGACGGCTGCCGCTGACGGCTGCCGCTGACGGTGTACCGAGTGCTAAGGCGTACATGAGCCACCTCGCTTGCTTCTTGACCAAGTCGACACACTCTTGACGCACCTCTCGTGATGAATGCACACACCACTCGGCTCAGTAGATTAAAGCAGGCTTGGTCCACCACACATACGCCCTCTCTGTCTGTCGGTCGTCTTGTCTGCCCAGCTGCCTCGACCCGCGTGCGCCACGCCTGCGCAGGCAACTATCCTCGCTGCGGTGTTAATCTGCCTTGATAATTACGCTGGCGTGCCGTCGTCGACCAACACCAACACCAACGGGCCAAAGAAGCGAGCTGGCGTGCGCTGCCGAGAAACCTACCGCGTCCGAGCAGCGCGGCCTTCCATTTGAAAAAGGAAACCAGCCCGAACTATCAGCTGTCCTGATGCCAAGCAGCCAACGTCCAAGCGGGCGGGTTTCCACCTCGTGATTCTTGTTTTTTTATTTTATTGTCGTCCTTCCTTTTGTTCCTTCTCCCTCGCTTCCATTTTGTGGGCTTCTCTGTCGTCTGGTGTTCGATGGAAAGCACGACGACGTATCATCTTGTTTCTCGCGACACTGGGAAACGCGGCAAGGGGGAAGACGAGGTCGCATCAGAGGTGCTTCACTGCAACGGTCGTGCAACTTTATTCGCTTCTCTTTCTATTTTTTCCCTCTTTCTTTTTTCTGTTCTCTTGCGCTTCCTTGCATCGGAACGAACAATGACGGAGCCCCCCCCCGCTGCTCGTGCTCAGCGTGCTTCCTTGCGTACTGACATCGTAATGTACAGTAAGGTACCCAAGGTAGTAAGAAAACCCACTCGGGGAACCTAGAATAACAATACTACGACCCAGGCAGGGGGTCATGTCCCCGCCCCGAGGGGGACCTGCTCTGACCTCTTTCGCTCTCGCTCTCCCAACACGGGCGGATCAGGCCAGACAGAATCGGTCATAAGGTTCTCCGGCATGGGACCCCGCTGTGGTCTACGATTTACAGCCAGCGGGTACTAGATGATGTTTTGCCGTTTCACCCGCTTCACGGGCCAGGTGAGAAACGCATGATGCCGGGGCTTCTGCGTTGCATGTCGAGCGGGTTCGACTCGATCATGGTGTTTTCTAGACCAAAGACAAAAAAGCAACGGATGGGGGGCAATGGTCATGAGCGACGACACATGGCCACGTCGACAGACACTAGTCGTCTTGTCGTCCCGTCCATATGGGATGGCAGATTGTCCACGGTGCATACTAGAAAAGGGACGCGCCAGAGGCGAGAGAGATCGACGAGGAGCCGCGCGCGCGGGCTAGAGGGTAGCGAGGAGGACAGCCACGCGACTGGCGAGACACGACCCAAAACAAGGCCCAGCCCGAACAACGCCGTGGCAAGCTCGCGGCTGTCTCGACGGCAGGGAAAGGTGGTCGACGGTCGACGCCAGAGACACACGCTCGCGTGCGGACGGTGTGGAAGATGCGGTGGGTCAGGGTTCAGGGGAGCAGAAGGCGAGTTTGGATCAGTCAGATAGGAAAGCAAAGAAAGCACCGGCCCTGAATACTGCGTGTACTTTACATGTACACAGTAGGTGCTCAGGGCCCGGAGCAGTAATCACTAGCCAGGAACAGGACCAATCAGTCCCCGTTGATATCTGACAGGGCTCTCGAATGGCGGCACCGGCCCGTGCGACGCCGCTCCCCGCAGTAAGGTGGCCTTGGCCCAATCAGGTCGACACATCACCGATACCGTACCATGTACCTCGAGGCAGCAGGTGGACGCTGGGCAGGTCCCAGGCTCGACCCCTCACTCTTTCCCTGCTTCCTGAATCCCGCCCACTCGTCACTGGTCCGGGCGGGTCACGTCTGGACCGGCGGTTGCTTCCTGCCTGATTTGACCTCACGTCACTCGAATCGACCCCTCAAACCGAAGGTGAAGGTGCACACGACGCTGCACTTGCCTTTCCATCCACGTCAGGTCACTCTCCGTACTTGAGTACAATCGTCGCGTCGTCTGAGAATCCCCTCATCCCAGACGGTTTCCCCAACAGGCCACTCCTCTGCCCGAGCCACGGATATCGGGATTTACAGAGCAAATCAATGCCAGTGGACTGTGCGCTGAATACCTGAATCGAAACCCTCTCGCGGCTCACCGCCACCTCCAGCCGTTCATACACACACTCTCTCTCTGTGTGTCTCTCTCTCTCTTTACGTCACTCGCTCGAGCTCCCTACCTACCACCGACCCAGGTCTCTGCTCACCCAAATTCCACGGCCCAGGTACACTGCGTCGCCTTTGCCTCGCCATCGTACCAGCGTCCCATCGTGAGACGCCTCCCCGGCCCACCCGCCAACTGATTGCCGGTCACCAGCAGCAGCAGCAGCATCTCATTTCCAGATACCCAGACAGGTCAACCCAGCTTTGCCTTGGCTGTCTTGGCCAGCCTTTTGGATCACCACACAGCACACACCTACCACCACCACCATTGGCATCAGAGCCTCGCCCTCAACCGCCCCCCCCCCCCCTTTCCATCGATCGACGGGTATCGTCATCTCCCCTCCCATCTCCACCAAAGCCTAACAACAACCTCACAACCAAAAGCCTCGCTGCGCACAGGCTTTCACCGGCTTGTCCACCTCGCTTCCACCGAGCATCACACAACCTTACTTTTCGGCTCATCAGCTCGCCCACCGCCATCTCAGGTGGCTATAGCCGTGGGCTGCTGTTGGTTGATAGCTCGAGGCGTGGAGGCAAGCGAGATCCCCTGATCCCCTGATCCCCTGAGCCGTTCTGCGACCGCCATTGTCCAACTACCCAGTCATCATCACAACGACGCGGCAGCGCAGAGCATCCGCTAAACTGACCCCGTCATGTTCGGCTCCTTTCCCGCCATTGGTACGTTAGTTGCGTCTGTCTCTTCAGTCTCTGTTTCCTATGCTCTGCTTTTGAGTCTCTGCTTCCTATGCTCTGCTTTCGACTCTGCTTCCTATGCTCTGCTTTCGACTCTGCTTTCAAGTCTGCTTTCAAGTCTGCAATCAAGTCTGCAAAGTTCAGTTTGGGTATAAGCCTGCGAATTTGGCTCTACCTCTCTGCCTCTCTTTTCCCGTCTTTACTACCACGCCCCTCCCCCCTGGCCTCCCTCCTCCATCCCTGTACGCATCGACCCTAGCGAAACGCTTCATCTTGATTCCCAAAGCACTGCCATGCACTCTCGCCTTCCCACGCTTGATTGCCTGTATTCTGAAAGGGCGCACATTTCCTCATACCGCGTTCTGTGCTTCCCGTGCTTGATCTGCTCCCCTGGTCCATCCTCCATGCCGGCATGTCAGCCTTCCGGCCTTGTGTCTGATGCCCTTCCGCATTCCCTGTCCCCATTCTCCTGTACAGTGCCTGGGCCCTGCCTGTATGTGTCTGTCAGTCGACCATGACTATACCCATGGCGGGCCACCATGACACGAGTCTCTGCACCGGCATCCATCACGTTGCCGTCATCAAACTTACACCAGTATAGCTAGCCTACCACGGTACGCCAAAATCGATCCCAAGGACATCCCTCCACCGACCCCCGTCGCCCTACCTCACAGCCAGCCTCAGCTGCAATCACCACCCTCGCCACCTGCATCCTCCGCCCAGCCTCTGGTCCACCTCATCCAGACCGTCTATCGCCCCGGCCAGGTCGCGCCCTCCATCTTCGAGGCCCTCGGTGTTCATGTCATCCCCGACACGACTGTCGCTGACTTGCTGCCCGACCCGGCCTATGTCCCCGACTTTGCCACCTGGGATGCCCTGTCAGCCGACGAGGCCCGGCAACGTAACGATGAGACCAAGCGTCCTCTAAACACCGGCGTTCAGTCTCCAGGCTGTCAGACCTATCAAGATCGCAAGCGCGAGCTGTCCATCTCCAACCAGGATGCCTATCGCGTCGTGAGACGCCTGCCGCCGCTCAAGGGACAGCAGCAGGCTCGGCTGGGAAACGCCTACGAGTTCTACCGCTGCTTGGAGGCATTCACAACATTCTGGGATGACACCTCAAAGCCTACCCCTCCCGCTCACGACGCTGTTACTGCTGCTACTGCAGATGACTCATCGGCGAGTACGGATGTGTCCACACAAGGAGAACCGTCGGAAGAGCCGGTGCGTGCTGTCCGGACGGCGGCCGGCACCTCGATGCCTGGAGACTATCGCCAGAATCTTGTGAATGCCTTTCTCAAGCTCGTCGCCTACGACTTTGGCTGCAATGCCTCGGCGTCGCGCGCCGAGCCCCGTCTTCACCTGATCGCACCCTCCGTCACGCCTTCCACCAAGACCGCGAGCGACTCAGGAGACCCGCACCAACGTAGCTCGTACTTTGCTTCGGGTTGCACTTTTATCTTCCGCAGTCCACGCACCCGTGATGCCGCTCGACAGGGCCTTGTTGACGGACCTCTTGGTGCCGTTTCAGCCCGTGCGTCCACAAACTTTGATACGGAAGCTGACCACACCATCGACTTTGCCCGTGAGATTGTCGCTGCGCTCATCACAGCCCAGCACCGCGCGCGCGAGGGCAAGACGGAACGCCGACCCGGCGATGGACAGTGGTGGACGACCGAACGGCGCTGGGGTGGCGGTCAAGGCGGGCCCATCGGTCGGGAAGTCGATCGAGACGTTGTTTCCGGCGACAAGGACGCCGCACCAAGCAACGAAAGGAAAGCCGAGCAGGCGACGGCCGCGCTCGGGTCATCCTCGTCGGGCGCCAGACCGGGCGCGGCGCCGGGCATGCCTGTCAGCAAACGGCCGCGGAAGCAGATGAGCATCTATGACAACTACCGCATGGTGCGTCCGCCTTCGGCGTCGTGGGACCAGAAGACACGGTATGAGGCCATTGGAAAGGCCAGGGGCGCGGGCTATGATGACATTTTCGTCGTGAGCTCGCTGTTCCACCACGTCAGCATCTTGCGGGTGAGGGTGCCGGACCGGCTGCTCGAGGTACTAGGGGGTGCGCCCGACGAGTATGTTGATGGCAAACGCAGCTGGGGCGGGCTGGAGGTGCGGAGGAGCCGATGGTTTGATCTTTTCCTCGTCGACCAGAGGATTGAAGCCATGGAGCTTGTCTGGGGCGTCATGGCGTGGATGATGAGGGCGCCCGAGCCGGAGCGCGGCTCCAAGGAGGAGGACGTCAAGATGGCGGGCACCTGACTCGCAGGGTCGAGAGGCTGCCACTTTCCGGTCCCGAGCTCATGGCTGGGCTGGGTGGAGGGTCGAGGCAGCGGCAAGGGAGGGTGAGTATGGGCGGCATTTTCGCATAGCATGCCTTTTGTCTTCTCGTGCGGCAGGTCGTAGATCTCTTTCGTCAAGGTGGCCTACGGGTACGTCTTGTGTCTCAGCCAGCGTTGCGTAGAGTCGCAGTGCTTCAATCTACCGACAAAGAGTCGTTTCACGGTCGTGGTCTCTGGTGTGTTTTGGTGTTTGTTTCGGTGCGTTGCTTGTTTTGGCGATCTAGAGGAATCCATTAGGCGTACAGCCTGTGTTACGGCGCAGTCGCGTCACACGTCCGCGTGGTGTCTGAGGACTCTACAAATCCTTTGGCCTTGGTTCCGAGTGTACATATAGCGTGTTCTCGAGACCAACCTAAGCTGGCATCTGGCCACGGACGTGGCTCATCGTAGACTTGTTCAGCTCGCTGTTCTGCTACTTGAAGTACTGCGGCAGGGTATACCTTGGGAGAAGCATCATCGAATTCGTATAGACGGCGCAGACATTGTTTGTAGGAGGGTTTCACGATTTGCTTTCGGTCACACGAACACACGTATTCGCAGGAGGACGGTTTAAAAAAAAGATATGTAGGTTACGGAAGAAGTGGCTGAGTTGAAGTTTGCCAATATCTGCATTATTTTACAACTCCATAAGTATAGGCTTCACCGAAACTGTGGTACCACCTTAACATGAAAAGAACTCACGCATAAATGTGCTGATTCGGTCGATCTAGGTCATTCTTCAAACCCGAAATCGATGTCAGGTACAGAAAAGCGCCCCTTCAGCGGCATACCGCCTCTATCAGGTTGAGCTTGGTACCTTTTCCCATCTTGCTCAGCACCTCTAGAGCCCTACCTCAACCTAGCGTAATCCACCTGGATCTTCACTATACACCCCGGTACGCCTGATGTTATTAAATGTCCTGCAGTACTGTGGCTCATTATGAATGTACTGTGGGCTAGGTCCACGATTTGGTTGGCTGTCAAGCTCATTTTTGCCACGTTAGCTGTGCCTTGTAGTACGTAGCTTTTGCATCTGAGATCAATTTCGGGTTCAAAGGATACCGGTCAATGGTCTGATGACATCTTCCAGTCATGCCGTCGATCTGACGTGGTTGGGAAGTAGTCACGAGTTGGCAGCGTCGGTGTCCATGCCTTGCATCTGATCGGAGGACTGGCCTCGACGAAGCAGCGCATGCTCCTTGTGCGTGTAGTCTTTCCATGCGGTGCTTTGTGGCCGTTGGCTCGTCTCTGTTGTGGACTGGGACAGTGGGTTGAAGTTATTGACAAGTAGCAGGGCGGACAATTCGTCATGCTGGAAGAAAGCTGGAAATATCCTCAGTTACATCATGTTGACGGTGCTGTAGGCAGACTACCCCTTCGTTCTGATCCCCTGCTGTCGTGACTATCAGATGTGGCGTCGAAGGAAACAGGAGACGTTCCAAGATGTTCGTCGTAACGTCCGATGCTACCGCGAGATTCACTTTCACCATATCTAGCCACTACGTTTGCAAGTCGAAAGGTTGCTGCTCGACTGATGCTAGCCACAGATTGATGCTAAGTATGCAAACCCTCTACACTGATACCCTGCGTCTACGACGGCCAAATCTAGGCACTCTACAGAGCTGAACAGTATCGCCTGGTCCGTTTGTCAGACCTCAGAACGAAAGTGCTTGCGTCCTTCCTTTCTGTCCTGCGCAACCACGGGCATCAACAACAGCCAAAGGCTGGCAACTCAGGGGGCAGAACGGAACGTCCAGTCTCGAGACGTTAACGCACTCCGGCGTCCTCGTGAACGCACCGACATCCGTGACCGCACCTGGATCATCCCCAGTTGCTCGGCGGCCTCATTCATCTGCCGTATCACATCGGACGGCTTCCCCGAGTCAACCTCATCTGCGCCCGAACACAACATCACAGTGACCTACGGTACACACAGGCCAAACGAGGCAGGACCTGCGTCCCAGCCCTACGGTCACAGACAGCGGACACTAAACCATCGAGATGGTGTGAGCGACCCCGGGTCAGCATGCACCACCGAGGCTTAGCATAGCACAGCACGCACACAAACAGCAAGCCAGAGAGACACCCGCGACCGATGAGGTACATCGCAAGACGCCACCCATGTCACAGCATTCACGGACGGCAGCACGCGGGGGCAGTGTAGCATCGTCACGATAGATCAATCTGTCCGAATCGGGACCGGCTTGTCCGTGCTTGTTGTACAGGAAGCCACAGTTGGGCGGGATGCCTCTCAACGTGGCATGTTTATGTGATCGTGAGGGTGTGGCAGATCCGGGCCCCTCGTCTTCCGGCGCCTGGCTGTGTGGTCTTCAACCGCGACGGGGGAGGAAACATGTGTGTGGTCCCAGCAGACCGGAGACGAGCCGAGTTTGGGCTCAATCTGGAGTCCAAGCTCCGATGACTGTATGTGAGATGGGATGCAGCCATGGGTACGGAATCTGTTCTGAGCTGCTGCTTGCATCATTTCCAGCCCCCCCAAAGTATCGATAGGAAGCAACATCAATTGAATGATGCAACAGCACTGCAGGCCGGCAACTCCTTGATTGGCCACGTGGCAAGTGGTGCTCATGGTCACGGGAACGGACAAGGCAATAGTGCTGCTGCGGCTGCCACGAGCGAGACCACGACCAACATGTGCCTGGGGATCAGGCTCCGTCTCCTCCTGCGACTTTTGACTATCGACCGATGCGCGCCCCGTCCCCAGAAGCACGTGTGTGGTCGCGATAGAGCCGGGAGCGTCGCAGGGATGGTGCCGTTGTGGTCGCCTGCCTATTGGACCGTGGAGGGCAAAGCTCCTACTTCGCGAGCTGCATGCCCTGGTCGTTCAGGCGCGCCACGAGGATCGGCGTGACCGGAACCTTTCCCAGTCGAGCATGGGGAAAAGAGCCGAGCCCCCCTGGAGGTGCATGTCGGTGCACATTTTGTCCATGATTGCAGTGATGGCCGACGTGATATCGATGCAGTGTGTTTCGGGTGCGCCAATGGACGTGGCCCAGAAAAGAAAGCAGCTCGATGTTTTTGGCGACTTTGGGTGACTTTGGGTCGATAAGGCAGCCGCATGTCTCGTCTCATCTGCGCCTGCATGAGATGAGGCGAGGACAGCAGAGGGGAGACTCGGCTGGTGGTGCTGAGGAGCACCAACGGCGATGCGCTGCCTGCCTCTGCCATGTGCAACGCCTTGCCCTGCCCCTGACCTAAGGGGAGTCACAGGCTCGCCACGATCGTGGTTCGGCCCGTTGAATGGAGCACGACACGAGCAACGACGAGAAATGTCCGGCAGTCGTTGTGGAATGATCGATGCCGTGGGTCGTCCAGAAGGCCAGGGTGTTGGGCACATGAGAAAAACGTGTATGCGATGGTTCTGGACCCTGAACTTGGCCACATTGGTGATGTTCCCCGCGAAACGGCGTCGAGGGCGGGTCTCGAGATCACAAGAGTACCATGTAGAGAGGCCCCTTGGGACAGAAGCGAGGAAAGGCGATGGATTTTCGGCATGCCCCACGAAGCTAGGCGTTAGGCAGAGGGGTTGAAGAAGTAGGGAGTGGACAGAGAGCGTGCCGAGTCGCCTAGTCGTGTCGTACGAGGGGGCGAGAAGCTTTTGCCCTAGATGCTGACGTGCGCTGAGCAAGAGCAAGACTGGACGATTTTCGAAGCGCAGTTTTCGACTCGGAATGCTTTCAGGGTCCGTCTCGAGATGCGAACCCCCCCTTGGGTGCGGCTGAGGATCAGGCGCCGGACCCTGGTTTGTTGATGTTGCAGGGCGTTGCCGACCTGGCAGAGCTTGCAGGTTGTGCAGGCATGGCAGACATTGCAGGACTCGAGCAGCTGAGCCTTCCAGCGAGTGAGGACTGCGAGACCGTCATCGAACTCGTCAGTGATGATGATCGCGCACGCTCAAACGACATTGGCAATGACATTGGCCAAGGCATGGCAGGCCATTGGAGAAGCAACATGGACCAAGGCCTTGTTGGTAAAGTGGGCGGTGTCTTTGCTAGGCGGCTGTCAATTGCCGAAAAGGGTCTGGGACGATGCCTGGAAAGCTGAAGTCAAGAGGTGCGGCGAGTCGAGAGGGAAAGATGCGCACCTCTGCCAGGGACCAAGGTGGGCAGGCAGGCAGACCCCACTGCACTCTCAGTGTGTAAGGTACCTACCTACATATACAGCACACGGGGCGGGGCAGTCAGCATGCTCTGCGCCTGCCAGAGTCAGCAAACTGCCCGCTGACACGCCTGCCTTCGTAATCTACCTACCTTACCTTAGGTAGGTACCTTACCTTAGGTCGGTAGGTAAGTACCTTAGCTTGCTCAGGTAGGTACTCGGCCTCGGCGTCGTCAAGAGTGTCCCCAAGATTAGCCCAAGATTACCTACGCATCCTTGTTAGTGCCCAATGACACGGTACATCTGATCCCATCTAAAAGGACCCAGGACCCGAGACCCAAGACCCAAGACCAAGGTGCCCCACACCCGGCAAGTCCGCCCGAGCCGTCAAGCGCACGATGGGCAGGGCAGTGGCAGTGGCAGCTCCAGCGGCAGCAGCGAGGCAGCGAAAGAGGCAGTGATGTGTGGCATCCCACTCTGTGGAAGCTGAAGTTGCGTGAGTAATAAGGGAAGGTAGCCATGGCAAGGTCGCTGGTCGCTGCCAGACAAAAAGCCAAGCCAAGCAGCAGCTCCTGGCCTTTTTGGGGGGCATGGAAAATTGTCCCGAGGCAGGAATAAGGTACCAGCAACTTCCACTGTCGTCTCCGTGTCGGTCCTGCTCCTTCTCTCACATTCGCTTCATCGGCCCTCCTCTGCTCGTGCTGGGCGGCCCTCTGCCCTCTGACTCTCTCCGACCGACCCTCTCTCTGCCCCTCGCACACACCCAGAAAACCTTCCCCCCTCCCCTCATTTTCCTCCTTTCTATATCCCTACCTACCAACCTAAACTACCGCATCGCACCGCACCGCACCGCACCGCACTACACCGCTCGTCCTCGTCCTGCCGTAACGACTACCGACGCGGTTCTGGACTTCTGCGGCTCCCGCTTCGCTCGACACACCTCTCGCATCGCTAGCCTCCTCCTCCCCCCCGCGCGTCGCTCACCTCGCCTTTGAACCCTTCCACCCCCACCCCCCCTGGTCTGGTCTGGTCCCTCCTCCACTCCTCCTAGCACCCGGAGCATCACGATACAATCTTCAATAGCCCTGTTCTCGAACACCCCTCCCCTCGCTCGGCTCCTGCTGAACAAGGGACTCGCTTGCCTCTGCTAAACGGTCCGCTCCACACCATCGCGACCTGCACCTCATAGACGTCTAGACGCCTTGTCTCTCGTCTCTAGCCTGGGCCTCCCCTTCGTCGTCTATAAAGCTACGCGCCATCCCAACCTATCCGTGTCAATCGAGGACCGATCTCACTTTTGACCTCGTCACCCCTCTCCTCGAGTCGCCTTGA